AGCAAAGTCCCAGGAGTGGCTGCCTCGGAAAGTGGCTAGTAGCCGCAGAGGAAGGTCGTACACTCCGGCTCGGCTCCCTCAGGCTCTGTCTTTTCCAGGGTGGAAGCCTATAAATAAGTTAGGGCCCCCATTGCTCGACCGCCAATAGCAGCGGATAGGTCGAAGACCGCGTTAGCGCCGACCCCGCTACCCTTTGCATATCCGATTTGAGCTCTCTCGAACCCAGGACCCCAGTAGGCGTCACGTGGCGCGTCGTTCCCTACGCTTACCGCGATAGGCTGTTGGGAAATTAAAAAGGGACCTACTAGAGGAGGCGGCCATTATTAACTCTTGGCTGTCTCCACATGCTCTGAGGAGATTGACATGAGGGCTGGTCGATGGGCTTACGGGTGGCCGTGGATAAGAAACACACTTTAGCCAAAATGCACCTACTTCCTGTTCTCTCTGCATCACCCAAAGGTCGACTGGTAAGTCCGCCAATGCACCAAAAGTGCATGATGTATAAGTAAGTAAATAAATAACTAAGACGGAGGCCTTCTTATTTCATGGGCAAGCGTCATGGTCCTCCTCCTGGCGCCTCAATCGTTGTCGACTCGGTCCCTCGTACTGGTTCAGATGAAGTATCTGGGCCTTATCCTCGACGGGAGGTGGATCTTTGACAAGTACTTTCGACAGCCTGCTCCAAAGCTGGTCGGCGCTGATTCTGCCCTAGGGTGACTTTTGCCCAATTTGTGTGGAGCCAGCGTCACGACAAGACATCTATACACGGGTTGTCATGTACAGCCGTTTTGTCGCGACGCGTGTGCGGGACGTCGCCTAAATAGAGAGTTTACCCAAAGCTGGTGCTCGCGCTTTTAGGGATTCAGATGCATATCAGCTGTTCTGGACCCCTCCTATCTCAGGCGCGGAGTGGCACACCGTATGGCACACACTCGGTTCGATTCTTACACACCGCCCCGCTGCTAATCCCGGTGGGATGACGTGTTTGTGTCAAGTTTGCCTTCTCTTTGCAGTGTTGTTGTCCTATGTAGTTTTCTCCCTTAGTCGGCTCTTACGATGCCTACGGTATGAATAGGGGTGGTGACACTCCGTATTCTTAATCCGTCACCACACGGACAATTAAATAGATTTAGAATGCCAATAGGTATTATGCCTATTGGCATTGTACCCTTTTTTTTTTTTTTCCGTGCGGAAATCCCCTCGGATACCACTTGTCGGTGGCATGTCGGACTCGAACCGACTAAAACCGCACGCCGTCTCGGGTACTAATGGCCGGGGAGCCAGGCATACCCTAGAAAGGAAGTCCCTGGTGCCCCGACATACCTCGGGTCATCTACAGACGAGTAGACGACCCCCCCTCCGTGTGGGAATCCCATGTTTCCCTTGTAACAGTTATTTTTTTGGTATATTAGTAAAGCGACACCTGTTGGCCGCATCGCTTTGTTGTTGATTTATCTAAAGTAGTTTGTAGCTACGGTATTGATCTCCTTTGTTCACTTTCGGACCACTAGATGGCGTTGGTTTGAGACATAATAGATTGATAAAAAGACTTCCTTTTTTAATCTGTTTTGTTATTCTGTCATGTCAAATTGCATAGGTATTGGGAGTGTTCAGCTATGGTGGAAAGCAAGTTACTTTTGATTTTGTTAGCGTTGTTTTCTTTCTCAATGTAAATGTCAAAGTGAAATGATGAGGAGGGGTTAACTTCTGGAAGATTCCTGAACCTAGGATATATAAGTCCGGCTTTCTGCCACGGGAGACACTGCTATCTCGTGCCTTCCGATCTTATATAGTGTTTTGATTGTCGTGTAATTTGAATTTCGTAATATGTAGTCTGTTTAAAGTACCCACACTAAGGTGGTGAGTATGTTCTTAATTCTACTTAAACCTATTTGTTTCTGGAACCTGTTTAATTATATGAGTGCTAATCCATTCGTAGGGTCCCAGATTTCGGGCTCAAGACGGTCAGTCTCAGACGGCGTGCTTGCTCTTTTGTGGCCTTCTGGTACAGACTCAAGTTTCTTGGTACCCTCTGGCAAGGCTGGTGATTGCGCGGCTCACGACGCAAGCGGACAGCCGTACCCAAGAGTTACGTACTTAAACTTATAATTACAAATTTGTTAAACTTTTATCCATATCCAATATAAATAGCTGACTCGGGCGGAAGAGGAAGTAACCTCCTGGAGGGACGACGAGGAGGCACCGAGCACCATCAGCTCGGCTCTGACGCGCTCCGCTGCGGTTTTTTTATACCCTCTGATTTTTTTTTTATTGTAAATTTAATTTTGTTTTGAAATATACATGTATGTATGACTGAGGTGTAAGTTGTTTTCCTCTAAAGAGTCCCGTAGGTTTCCCACACGCACACACTTCTTTTCTCTTAGAAGGCGCCCTGAGGTAATCTCATAGATCTCTCCACTGGGTCAGCCGGTGAGTAGTCCGCCTGAGAAGAAAAGCGGCTACACCCTGTGCTCCCTGGAAGCGAGCGCGCTTCGCAACGCGCTCGCCGCCACCCCAGCCTGCTTCTGCTAGGGTGGCAGATGGCCTCACCTGTCACCCCCAGGCCTGCGCTTATGGAGGATGGAGGTCGTTCTGCGACCTCCAGCGCCTGCGGTACCTGGCCCGTTCCCGGGCCTGGCGGGCCGGAAGAGTCCTAAACCTCTCCCGGTCCCGCTCCGCCGTTTGGCATTGTACCCTCATAAAATGTTACCAACTTATCACATACCGATAAGCTAGTTTACAATGTTTGAGTCAGGTAAACCAAATAATCTATCCTATTTATAGTCTATCGTTTATAATATTAATGATGAATTTATATTTATAATCTATCATATTTTCCTAACTCTAATTACCTCAGTTCTACACTATCTGCCTCATTAAATATGGATTTACAAACATTATGTATTTGTTTTGACCTCAAATAGTTTTGCTAATTACTACATAGTTATTATTATAAGTTAATATATAGTAACAAGTAGTATTAGCCCAAGCCCAGCTCCTTTTTAAGGAGAGGCATATGTCCAGCAGTGGATTGTTAAAGGCTGGCTATATTCGGTTATCTAAAAAAAAATTCTACAGCTTTCTGAAAAAATGATTTTCCCCTTAAGAGTGGTATTTGAGGAGTTGTGAGGCTCTTCGCTTCTGATGCATGTACATTATTATGAACATGATATGTATATTATATATGAGTTTCTCTGTATTTCCGTTAAATCATGATCTTGGAATAAAACAATCTATACTATTTGAGCACGAAATGTCCGAAGCAGGCAGTCGGCTAACGCGTCGTTTCATAGTTCCCTGTTCGTTTTTATTTTTGAAAGTCATTCACAAGCACTTTGGTATACTTTATGAGTTTTTTGACGATTTAGGGTCTGAAGATTTTTATCTAACTCACAGACTCGCGTTTATTATGTTTCTCAGACCTAGAAGGTGCTAGAGAACGCTGTGAACTACGTCGAAACTTGCACTGAGCCTGAAGTTATTCTATCACGAAATTAGCCTTAAATTTCTAAAGCTGCAGCAATCTTGTCACATAATATTCTTTAGATTCGTAATTGATTCTTTTAGTATTTTTGCTACAGAGAGAGATTTTGGAGATTCACATACGCTTTACATACGTTTAACCTATAAAGTTGTCCATATTGATCAGTCTCGTGGTCTCATCTATCATTGGTAAAGTGTTTTTGGGTTGGGATTATAATTTGAAGAACTAACAGTTTTTATCCCCAAGCTGATGAGAGAAGCATAATGAAATGCGATTAAATCTCTGTCTTTGCAAATCGCAATATACGAGTAGTTATGGTTGTTCTAGTGTAATTGTTAAATATTGTGTTTCAAATAGAAATGAGACAATATTTTCCGCAAGTAATAAATTTCACACCTGAGATCCAGTTGATTTACATCCAATTTCATAAGATTTTAAACACGATTGTTACTTTACTTTACTTACAAGCATTTCACTCTCGACTTTGCTGTCTCTAATCCCATCATTTTGCAATACTAATTTTATTTACACCAAGAACGATACGTCACTTTAAGAGAAAAGTCATCCTAAATCTTGTTTTTAGTAGCAGGTGTAAGTGTTTCCATATCCAAATTGCTTATTAAAATTTAGCACATTAATATATTATAAAATTGACACAATTAATGTTACAAATTCGTAATGGAGTATTTTTCATCCGGTTCTTGAGGAGTTTCTTGTATAGTAAGTTTGACGTTAAGCTCCGAGCTCCTTAAGTCGGGTCCGAGATCCGTTTCTCATCCTTGTATTCTCTACTTCTTTACCCATTTTCCTTACAGTTAACCTACTTCCTTATTCTTGTCTAAAAATTAAGAATGCATAAGTAGGGTTGGCGTTAGGAAAGCGATTTGACGAAACCCTTTGCAATATTAAACATTGCAATGCAATGATGATATGATGATGAAGCTTGTAATTATAATGGAGAATGGTATTTTTTCTCATTATTTGCACATTATTTTCCATAGCACCCTTTGCTTATTTTTAATGAAAATTGTTTTGAAGCTCAAAAAACTAAATTATGAGTATAATAATAATAATCATTTATTTCAGGTATAAACCCATAGGCAAAAACACAAAATCATAAAAATCATAAAATCATGAAAACATGTATAGCTGTAATGACTTTATTAAAAGTATTATAGTTTTAATTATTGGCATAAATAAAGTGTGAAAGTTATTGTATTTAATTAAACTAACAAGGTAATGTTAAATAAAATGCGTCAACTGTTTATTATTTACTAGTTACCCTACGTTAAAAGCAAACGTTACTTAAAACAATTACTTTGAATGACTGCTGCAGGTGTTTCGATTGTTATTAAACGTTTTTTTTTAAATTAATATAATACCTTAGTAAATAAGTTTGAGTCGCACTCAGTTTCGTTCAGTCATCCTTTTCTGATTCGCGCCAGAGCATGTACCTAGTGTACCTACTCAATATATTTTCATATTTCAACCTTGTTGTAAAATATAGCAAATACTTGGATTGGCTTCGTTGCTTAACTTAATTACTACATGACGTAAGTCACAATCATTTTGTGCAAAGCAGCTTTAAAATGAAACCGAAAATTATGATACTCCCAACACATTCCGTTAGATGTAGGGCGGCTCTTAATGTATTAGTAAAAGATAGTAGAAGTATAACCATTGCAATGAGAAAACCGTACGGAAAACTCAATTATTCCGAAAGATATTATAAAAGCAGTATTTATTAAAAATCAGTACTTTAATAGATTAAAAACGTTAAAAGGAAGTTTTGTGTTCAATGTATTTCGTAATATGTATTTTCCATTACGTGTTTAAAGAAGATTTTGATTTTAATAAAATCTTGTGCATGGATTGACGAGAAATTATTATTCCATTCTCATTTTCTAACTATAAAAAAAAACTTTGACGAAAAACAGTTTTCATTCCAAAATTAAACACTGCCGTTTATTCAAGCACAAAGAATCTGAAAAGAAATCTGAAATTCTGAAGAAATCTGAAAAGATACAAATTCTATAATTAAATCTTTCTCAGTGTCCTTTCTTTGTAAAATGTATAAAGGTATAAATAAATAAAAAAATTTTTTAGGATTGATTGTATGTTTTATATCAAAGAGGTCTACTTTTTAATTACTTTTTCATAACTTTAACCCTGTAAAGTCTTAAAGATCTGTTAAGTTTACAGATGGCTTGTGTCTGGATCAAAAAATTTTTGCTTCAATTATGTCAGCAGTTGTGAGTTGTGTTTCAGCAATGAGTAGGTATCAATAGCGAAAATCCTAACGCAGATCGCACGCAAATCATATTGCTTGCACTTGTTCAATAAACAGCTCGATAGGTCGCTTGTAAACCATTGTATTGAGTTCATATTGTCGAACACTTCCATATACATACACACTTCCAGGGCCTATGCTTATAAACACTGTCCAAGGCTTCCCCAGATAAACCTTAAGCTTGTTTGTCACATCGATGGTAAAAGAAAGTAAAGTCTTATTTATGGCGTTCATTAACAGAATTGCATAATCGAGGTTAAAAAATAACATGAAAAATACTACAAGTGTATTTTGAGCAGTGTTTTGCTAAAATTAATGTCTTCTATAAATAAATTTGGTAAGCCCAACGAGTTTCAAGAAAATATCGGTCAGTTCGTCGCTCCCGTCTATGTTATTAATACGTATCACAGTGATTCTGAAATAAACATAACAAACCACGATCGGTATCAGTGTGAAGAAGTGAGCTACATAGAATATTTTATTATATATTATGTGTTATTGTCGAGGAAAAGTAGTTCTAGATTTAAAAATGTAGAAAGATGGGTATGTTCTTCGTTTATTTTACTAACAAGAGATTGGTTCTTAGTAGCAACAGTTTAAGTGTCAAAATAAGACACTGGTATTTGCCTTAGTTTGACATCATAATACCCACAAACTCGTGGTTCTAATATTCAATTTGAATATTTTGGCTCTCTTCAAAATGTGGTCTGGTCGGTCTATGAGCAACACATTTCAAAAAATGAATAATATGCTTTTAATTTGGCTAATGGTTTATATATATATGATTTCGGTGATCCAACGAGACTCGATGTAGTCAACATTGCGTTAAAATATTTTTACCTCGGAATATATACCTACCTTCGACAGCTCCTATTGGCAATATGAATCCGCTGATGGCTATATATGAAGTTATATGTTATTGAGACGATTGATCACACGAATAAATTCATAACAATCGCTTCATATGTTTCCATTCAAATACGTGTAAACATTAAGGCTGGAATCGCACTAATCGCGAGTCGTAGCGACATGCGGCATGTGCAAGTATCGACTTTTACATGGCTTAGAAATAATTAAATTGATATTGTGATTTTAAAATTAAGAAGTCTATGACTGACTTGTCTGAATATATTTAAGTGAAGCTTCAATACTATATGACTGGGATAAATAATAAAAAAATAA